AGGGCAGCCGCTGGCTCAAGGGCACCTACGTCTCGCGCCAGGACTACGCCGCCGCGGCGGAGCGGCAGTCCAAGCATGTACTTCCCGCCCGTGGTGCGCCGTACAGCATGTGGGAGGAGGAAGCCGCCATGGAGGGGGCCTTGCTCGCGCAGGGGCGCAAGGTGGATGCCGGAGCGTCGCGGGCTTGATTTGAACGGAGCGGCTACACACGTGTTTTGGACTCAGCAAAGTTTCAACCGTAGATTCGAGAAGGCCAGCAGAAACCTCCGAGTCGACGATGGCCATTGAGTTCAGAGTGAATCAAGAATCGACACAATCCCAAGAGTAAGCCGAGCCCAAGCTATACTCTTTGGACGGTTGCCGAAATAGAGAGAAGTTGGCCACAATGATCACTGCCGGTCGTCCCCAAGTGACCACACCTCTCAACCGTTCTTCACCAAGCAATTTGCACGCAACACTTGGTCCGGGACAGCGCAATATATTGTCACCTCATGCTAGCGGTCAACTACCATGCCCGGTATTCCTTCTCCATTTTTTTCTTAGGCTCCTTCTCTCTGCTTAAGCAGCGATGGTAACCTCAACCTCGACACCGGCCTCAATGTTGATGATGATCTGCTTGACAACCTCGGTGGGGGCAGTCAGGTCGATCAGGCGCTTGTGGATGCGCATCTCGTACAAGTCCCAGGTCTTGGAACCCTCACCGCAGGGGGTCTTGCGGGTCTGTTTTTCGAGTCTGTGTCAGCGCCTCTCCTTCTCTGAATGTAAGCCGGATGGATCGTTACGCACCATGATCTTGAGGGTCTTGGTGGGCAAGCGGACGGGGCCCTTGGCGCGGAGGTCCTTGGTCTTGGCGCGCTCAATGAGCTCCTGGCAGACCTTCTCGAGGGCCTGCACCTTGCGGGAGGTCAGGGTGATGCCTGTGGTTTCGAGTTAGTCGGGTGGTTCTCGTTTGCGAGATAGGGCGTTCGGAGACGACGTACGGATCTTGTGGACCTTGGGGGCCTCGCCGAACTCCTTCTCGGGCTTGTTGTAAGACATCTTGACGGATTGGTTTCGGGTTGTCGGTTGACTGCTGAGAGAGTTCCTTCACGACTCGAACGCGATGGTCACTGCAGCAATGAGTTAGTTCCAGCTCCGTTGCGCATGTCTTCCCGCCTGCTTGCGCATTTCGATCAGGCAGCCAGCGAGTTCCAGTGGGCGTAAATAGGGCGACATACCGGTTCGGCAAAGTGATGAAGGCGAAGAAGCGGTTGCTGAGTTGTCTGGCGGAGAATTCACGATCGCGAACTTTTTTCCATTTTCCACATTTTTTGCGATTCTCGTTGTGATGAGAGTGCCGTCTTGGCGAGAGCATGGCTGAGCCCCACAGCCTTGTGACGCTAATCAACTGTAATGTGGCTTGTCGTTTCCTAGGTCCCTGCATTTACCCCACGAGTCAATGACACATTCGGTGAGTTCCAGAAGCTTGTCAGCTTTTGGAGAGACAGCATCCAGGAAGCTCAGGCGCTTTCATTAACGTCAACAACCATAAATCACCATTTTCCTTCGACCTCAAAATTATTTTCTCGAGTAGCAGTGTCCTTGTTCGCATTTAGCAGCAGCGTTTTTCTTTTTAGAGAGAGATTTTTCCAGTCTCCCAGCCTGCGAGGACAGCACAATACAGCAACTCCCAACTCCCCTGTTTCTCCATTGCCCATTGTTGGTTGCTTCGGTTTATAACCCCTGACGCTGTCAACACCATGGCTTCTTCCCGGCTTCCCGCTTTTGCACTCTTCCCCATATCAGCATGGCGGGACCAACTTCCGCCCGATGAATGGGTAGCTTGTCTCAACGCTTGGTTGGCCCTTATCGACAGCCATCTTTCACTCTCGGACTCGGATTTCGGCGCCACCTCAGTCAAAGACGAGAGTCTCCAAGCCTTCCTCACTTCCTTCACGCGGGAAGTTGCACTGGGTGGCGTGGCCATTCTAGGTTCATCTTCTTCTGCAAAGAAGCTCCTGAAGGATTCCTTTAGACTCGCTACCAGACTTCTTCAGCCACCGGCGCCACCAAGTGGACTGGCACAGTGGGAGTTTCTCGCCGACTTGAGCCATGTCTATGGCAAAAAGAAAGTTGACCCTTTGATCCAGAGCTTGTCAACAGCATCGAAGGAAGGGCTAGACTCGTCACTAGCTGCACTCAAAAAGTTTCTTACCAAGAACCTTGATGCCGGTCTCAATGGGGGAGATCTCAAGAGCATCGAAGAACGGTTGGAGCGGGTGAACGACTTGATTCTGGTGTCTCCATTCGTCGCTGAGTTCTTTCTTGCGGGCAGCGATTTCGTGGACGCTCTCATCAGCTGCTACAGGATCACCAACCCTCCGTTGAGAAGAGCCCTGATTGCAACGACGTACCTCTGCCTCTCCGGTCTTGCAGAGGGGCAAAAGATGTCGGCTCTGACGGATCAGCTCTACTCCCTCAAAGCAGCTGCAGACACCCACAAGGCTAGCACCCTCAACGTGAACGACTCTCTTGTTGCCGAGCTTGTCACGTCTACTCTCTTGCTCTAACGACTCCAGCGCAAGCTAGATGAAACTCGCCACCGTCTCCAAACCGGGCCAAGTCGTGCTGACTCGAACTGGACAACCTTCAAGAAGCCCGGCGGCGGTATGTCCAAGCCCAAGCGCCTCATCAAGCGCAAGGTCGACAAGGGGCAAGGGCCTGGCCGAGTTCGACGAGGCGCAGGCCCAACAGGAGATACACATCCATCTCATGAGCCAGATCTCCCAGGTGCAAGACCTCTTCCCCGATCTCGGCACCGGCTTCGTAGCCAATCTCCTCAACGAGTACGACTCCAACCCAGAAGAAGTAATCGCGCACCTCCTCGACGACTCCCTCCCACCGCACCTCCAAACCGCCAACCGCGCCGAAGAACTCACCCAACCCACACCCCAAACCGCAACCGCAACACCCCCAACCACGACGCACCTCCCTCCTCCCCCGCCCCACCCCACCCCTCCCCCCCGACTCCCCCACAGACTCCGAAGACGAATTCCCCCTCCTGCCCACCTCCACCTCCCACCTCCACATCGGCAAGCGCCCCGGCAACGCCGACGCCCTCCTGACCCACGGCTCAACCGCCACCGCCAAATCCGCCATCCTCTCGGCCCTCGCCGCCTTCGACTCCAGACGACGACGAGCGCGACGACACCTACGACGCGGCCGACAAACAGAGCGGCACCGTCGACACCACCCCGACGCTTGGCG